TTTGAATTCATTCTGCCATTTTATTATCTACTGTGAAAACATGTGAAGCACTTCAGAGTTGTGCGGTTGTTTAATTGAATAAATTATGCATATTGTTGCATCACTAAAAATGATTTAAAAATTCAATTCTGAAAGCTTTTATATTTTTTCTAATTTTTTTTGCCAATTTTTTCAGTAGAAGTAAACTTGAAATGGGAACTGCATAAATAAATAATTAAATTAAATTAAATTCGTATTTGTATCATTTTCAATTTCTATTATCATTTCAAAGGCTATCATAATTGAACTCGTTGTGAGTCGTTGAGCTCGGAAGAGGATATTATCAGCTAATTACAACTGAAATCTCAGGAAGAGTTTGCAGGAGTTTTGGTTTGCTATAATATAAATCCATCCGGAAAATACTGCAAAATATTTTTGCATATGCAATTTGCAGTTTGCAATACAATTTGATTTCAGTGTTTATTTTGCATTCTGTCCCTAATTATTGTTTTTGAAAACCGAAAAAAAGAAGTCGAAAAAATAAGTCTTTGCATAGTGTGAAAATTTTGCTAAGCTAATAAATATTAGCTCAAATGTTAATTTATTATTTCTCAGTCAAATTCTTGCGCATTTGCAATGAAAAAATTTCTTTCAAAAAATTTGTCACATTTTATAAATTAGTAATTTATCAAAATTGTTTAAATCAAAAAGTTATGACTAAATTGTTGCTATCAATTAGCAAATATCAATTTTGCTTGTTGTGATAATTATTTTAAGTACAAAAGATCAGTTCTTAGGCTTTAATATACATTTATTTGTTCAGAACGCACTGCGTTATTTCCATATTTCGTCTTTTATCATTCAAATAATTCGTAATTTTGTTTCCACAAATCACATGCAAAATCTTTTTGATCTCTAATAAACTCTTTGTATTATAATTTGATCCCAGTATATTGATTTACCATGTTTTTGCATTATTTCTGATGAATAAGTAATGAAAATTTTAATAATAATATCATTAATAATAATAATAATAATAATAATCGTTATTATCATCATATACCATTTCTATTATTAATATTACTAAGCAATGACTGTGAAATTCATGTTTTGTCTACTAGTTCATTCGTTTTGTTTCTATTCTTTTGCATAACTCATTTTGCTATCAAACAAATAGGCTAAACTAAATAATTTTTGCTATCATAATTAGTGCGTAATGTTTCTCAAGTGAATAAGGCGCAAGTTATAAAGTGTAACTATCCATACTGCTCTTTGTTTACTTGAGTAAATATTCAGTTGTTTTCAAGTATGAAGAATAATTATGCAAATATTAATTACTTTCCATTGAGATGCAAAATATTCTATGCTTTAATGACTTAATTACTGAAAAATACTTCAGTGAAAAAATTTAATTTCTATTAAAAGTATGGCAATTGTAGAAAATAATTTACATATTTTGATAGCATAGTGAGGTAAATGACTTTGCTTTGTGGACAGAACAATTAACGAAATTATAATTAGCATATTATGTGGGGACAGATTTATGCAAAGTTTGCTGCCCTATGCAATTTGTTGCAATTTTTTTGAAGAAAATCTCTTTGGAAACGAAGAAAATATTCGATAAGTCTCTTTTCAGCAAGAAATTTAATGCAATTAATAAAATGACAAAATTACTATGCAATTAGAACTAGTAGACTAGACAGTTAAATCTCAAACTAATTAATCAAATAAACCAAAATTAATTCCACTTATCGATTCTCAGTGCTTTAGCTTTTTAATTGAATTACTGACTACATACTGATTCCAAGTGTCTAAAATGATATTCCATGTGCTTACTAAATCTAGTCTTAACTGCTATGAACTATTAGTAGAATGCAGAATTCGCAGTCTTGAAGAGAGTATAGTAACTTACAAATATAGCAAGACAATATTTTTTCAGATCAAAGGCTGAAACTGTAATATTCTAGAAATTTGCAAGTTTAGAATATTGCTAAAACAAAGTTTATCAGATTTGTCTCATGAAATCGAGCTGAAGCAAGCAGGGATCATAAACGTGAAAATTGCTTCATCGTACAAGAAAATTAGTATTTAATCAAGTTAGCATCACTGAGAATGAAATACTTCTGTTCATGAATTTATAGATAATCTTTGCTATTTTATTTACAAAATAGCTTTTTTGTATAAGAAAAAAGCACACTAAGGGATACACTTTTTTCAGCAAAATTAACGATTTTATTGTATACAGTAACTAATCTGTAAGTAGTTGTCTTGCAGTACGCTTGTCTGAAAAAGTTGCGTGAAAATTTTGCATAGCAAAAAAGCTTGTAAGGAATGCTATAATAGCAATAAAATAATTTATTCTTGCACAAAAAATAGCACAATGAGCAGTTAAATCAGAATATATAATATTGCTTTCGCCTTATGCACAACGTTGATATAGATTTGTCTAACTTCAAGTAAGCTTAACTACACTAGTTGATATTCAATGAATCAAACGTTGCAAATGCAATAATATTTGATTTCAAAGCTTTTCATAATTTAGACATGACACTTTGCTGTCCACGTACGTGTTCATTACACGTACGCAGAAAGGTTGACTGACATAAGTGTGAAAAATGTTATTGAATTTTCTGTATTTGGACACAAGTAAGAAGTTGCAAATTGTTATGTCTGAATTATAAAAATATGATTTGATTATAAGCATGTAAAGCATAAAAGGCTTTTTAATGTTATGCTGAATAACTTCTTTTTTTTGAATCTTTATGGCTTTTTGTAATGGTCATTCGATCTTAATAAAAATCATATTTTGATATTTTTTGATAATTTACGGAAACAAAAATGCTTTTGCCAAATTTGCGCAAGACAAGCATATATAATTTTTGTTAAAAAAATTCATGTTTTTACTAGAAATTTAATTGATAGAATATTTGAACTATTAATAATTTTATAATCGCAAAATTAATGAACTAAAATTTTAGTTTGTACAGTTTTAAAGAATTACTTTAGAACTATAAGCTAAATTAAGCGTTAAGTGTACACATGAATTAATATTATTTTTTAATTAAAATCGAAAAATGCAAAGAATTTTTACAGCATGCTGCTTTAATAAACTGCGAAGAAAGTTGGATTAAAACAAAACTTTTTGATTTAAAACCAAATTATCTGTTCAAATAATAAATGTAGAAAATTGGAAAAAAGAAATTAAGTCAGTATAATATCACATTAAGCTGCAAAGTAAAACTTTGATAGCCTCATTTGCTTTCTTTGTTAGAGATTGCTTTATCAGAAACAAAATTTTATTTTGTACTGCTCTTTCTTGTTTTTTTATTCTTGTTAGTCTGAAAAATTTCAAGCTAGAATTGTTCAATTTTTGATATCTTTACTTGGAATAATTACAATTTACAATTATGCAAATTTTTAGTGATAAAATAATGAAAGAATTTAGTAATTAGAATTGTCCAGAAATGATTTTAGCAAGGATTTTTAAAATCTGTTTATTTATTATTTGCATTAAAAATGTCTATCATATTTGAGTAGCCATTTTGGTTATTTTTTTTCAAATATAGAAAATATCACAAATAAACAGGAAATTGGATATCGTAATTATTAGCATAAATCATCAGCTATGAAGCAATTTTCGCATACAGCAATTGATGACAATTCATCTCAACGGTCAGTGGATTTTGGAAAATAAGATTTATGCCTGACCAATTATTATTCATTCAAAAATACCGACGGCAATCAATTATTTTTTTAAATAATTAGCTGAATATTGATCGGAGTTGTAATAAATTATCATCTAAGCATTATGTATATTGAAAGTTTAAAAAACTTACTGCAAATTCAATAAAGTATGTAAATTGCTTAAGTAAGTATGTGCTTGAACTCCTGAAAAAATTTGGATGCAATCCATTCAATTTTCAGTTCAAATCCCTTAAATTTAATACTATAATTAGTTTTCAGTTCATAATAAATTTTAAAAAAAAGCATTTTACTATGACTCTGATATTGGCATTTCTTGCTTGAAGTTACTGCATAACTTAATGATTGTTATTAGGAGTGAGTAAAAGGGATAAAATGATATTGATTTATATTAATCTAAAAGTGAAAGTAACTTTGACCGGATTGCACAAATCATATCATTATTGTATTTGAAAAATCAAATTTTGGCAGCTAACTTTTTTCATAAAATCGCAAGCTTTTCTTATTGTGTAACAAACTTGCATAAGTAATATTAATACTTTTTAAAATTTCACTGAAAATATCAAAAATTGTCATATTAAATGATATTAACTAACATATTTTTCCATTCATATTGTCTTTTGTTTTGTTACTTCAATTCAAAGAATAGTTTATACAACAAAGGCAATAGATGAAGATGAAATTTTTTGGTTAATTGAATTATAATTTGCGCATTCACTTTTCAAAATTATAATTCACCTGAGAAAATTTCCATAATAAAGTGCTAAAATGCATGAAATGAGCAAATTCAATGTTTAATTAAAATTTGCTTATTTAGAATAATATTATTCAAAATAATATAATTTAATTGCAATCAAAATCTAATATTTTAGATTACTAAATTGTTTATTCGATAACGAGTTCAGATATGAATTGCTATTTAGTTCCGATTTAAAATTCAAGTATTTTTTAAAGAGTCAATGTGATTTATTACTCAAAAACTTTTGTTTTGATCACAATTGAATTAATAATAAATTTGGCATTTATAATTATTGATTGTGATGTGATAGCCATCTTGTGGACAGTAGTAATGTCCAAATTTGGATAAGTGACTTCATTACAAAAATAACGCTGAAAAGTTATCAGTGATTACATTTGCAATTTTCGCTCATTCCTTGCAATACGCATCAGAAGTCTTTATAATTAGACATCATAATGTCATTAATTACAAAATTTTTACAAAAATGTTTTTACGTTCACAAAAATGAATCAAAATATATTTTAAAAACTCGAATCAATTTCACAGCTGATTGGTTGATCTAATTTATGGCCCTTTGACCTTATCCAGATTGTGCTAATTGCTCAGCTGAATGAAATATTGACCGATTTCTGATACTTCGTTGTGCGATATTGTTTATGGCATTCTCGAGAATTCTTGCCTTCTTGCCCGCTTCATCTAAACGTTTCGCTGTCCTTTTCAATACTTTTTTGGTAATTGTTGCTGGCAGTGCTACCGAAAATGGCTCTAATAATGAACTGAAATTTTGAAAATATGGAAGTTAAATTTGCCATACTTTTTAGTAGAGATAGCAAATGTTAATATTTATTATTATCAAAAAGCATATAATCTCAATTTTATATTACTCAAAAATTTTATCAATTTATGAAATTCAAAAATAAAACAAACTAAATAAAATAAATAATATTTAAAAACGATCGGGCAGATTGATCAAGCATAATCGATTTTGTAAAATTGATTTGATGGAATTAACTGGTGGCAGTGGTAGGTTAATCCTTTTTGGGTTCACAGGAATGAATGAGAGTTTGTTTATTTTCACTTCTTATTTTGTAGTATTGAAATATTTGTTGATGTTTACTCACTTATTCTTGATCGGTAATGGACGCAAAGGTACTGATTGATAACTTGAAGATGTAGTAGCATTCATCACGCTTGTTTCAGCTGATGCTGCAACTTTTTTGCTGTGGTTCAAGTAAACAAATTGTGATTTGTATTCATTTTCGACCCATAAAGTTTATTGAAAAAGCGTAAAGTGACAACTTTTTAAATTATTTACAACTGTAAATAATTGATAACAAATTTTTCGCTGTCAATTTTGAAATAAATTATTGTTTGTATCACTTTGATGGAAGAACTATCAGTCAATTTTGTTGTGCTAACTATACTTTCAGGGAAAGCTTGAATGAGAAAAGGTTATTATCTAGTAGCTTCACAAAATCTTTGCTAATGTACACTCACAGTTAATTTCTGATTCTCAGAAATTCAATAAATATTAAGACTGAAAAAAATTTAATTCTAATGTCAGTTACTTGATCCGATTTGAGGACTATGAACTTCTGATATTTAGATTAAAATTGACTGACTGATTTTAACAGTCTTGGCATATTTACTTTTTAGTGATAATATTTTGCATAAGATATTAAATTATTCAGTTCCATGCAGATAAAAAGACATTTCTTCCCACTGGATGGCAAATAACTTATCAGATATCTGATAAGGTACTGATTGATAACTTGAAGATGATATCTGATAAGTTATTGATTTGTCATCTAGCGGAAATAATGTGGATTTTAGTCCGCTAATTTTATTTTAAG